AATGGCAGAGCAACTGGCACAACTGAACAACCAAACAACTGGTTGCTATGATGTGCGTTGAGCACCAGGGGGCGTGTGCAGAACATGGCGGACATTGGCTGCAGCGGAATGGTGGAGCAGGTGAAGAGGCTGAGCACCAGGGGGCGTGTGCAGAACATGGCGGGCATTGGCTGCAGCGGAATGGTGGAGCAGGTGAAGAGGGGCACCAGACCAAGGCCGGAGCCGCCGCTCTCATCCACTGCCAGAGCCAGCCCTGCTTGCACCTGCTGCCGGTGCCTGGCGCCAATCCTGATGACTTGGTGCCATCAGCAGGTGTGAGTGGCAGCTAATGGCCCTGATCTTCCCTGAGGGCTTCTCCATCTTCTCCTGCTCCTGAGGGATGATCGGAGCAGCAGCCACCACTTGCACCTGCTGCTGGTGTTGTCCAATCGCTCTGCGCCATCAGTGGGTGCAAGTGGGGTCAGTGCTGTCAGTGTGTGGGAGCAGTGGGGGTGGGAGCAGGACTGCCTGCAGACAGGAGACCGGGGGCCATGGTGGGAGGGGCCAGGCAATGGTGCAGAGGATGGGCTGAGACCCACCCCTGTGCCTACAACAGCCTCGCAGCTGACAGTTCCTTTCAAGGTGCATGAATTCATGCACTGGGCCCCTAGTCTATATAATAAAAGCCTAACTGACCAGTATGGCAGAACGACCAGAATGACCGGTCGCTATGATGTGTACTGACCACGAGGGGCAGATGCTCAATGCAGGAGTTGCCCCCTGGTGGTCAGTGCACTCTCACAGGGGGAGCAACGCTCAGCCAGAACCCAGGCTCATGGCTGGCGAGCGCAGCAGCGGTAGTGGGAGTCTCTCCCGCCTCTGCAGCAGCCCTAAGGAGCAGTGAGCTGAGCAGTAAGGAGCAGCAACCGGGTGGGCGGTAAGGAACAAGGGGTCTTGGACTGCAAGAGGGATGTCCAACTGCCGGCTTAGGCCCAATCCCCATGAGGAGTGGGCCTAAGTTGGCAAGCGGACATCCCTCAAGGGGTCCCAGACTGCGAGAGGGTGCAGGCCAGGCTGAGGGAAGCCCCTTTCCTCCCCCCCACCCCCAGTGCACAAGTTTCATCTACTGGGCCTCTAGTTAGCTCATATTGCAGATGAGAACTTTGGGGCTTAGAGAGCTTAAGTGGTTCATTACTGATAAGGAGAATGGCTGCTATGGGTGAGACACTGGAGACAGGGGGATCAATTAGTTATGTATGAAAATATTTTGAGCAATGATTAATTAAGGCCTGAACCAGGGCACTAGCAGAGGGAAGGTAAATAAAGACAGCTGGGGTTTATAATAATAAAATAAAAAAAGTTCTTCAAAGTGCTGATGGGCACTCTTTAATAAAAGTAGGGCCTTGTTGAAAGCATGTTTCATTCTTCAAGCAACTTTACTTGAGATTCAAGAAGTCGTTGGAAGTACAGAACAGAAAGAAGGGGCAGAGTGGAAAACTGATTTTCAATTTAGTTTCGAGATCCTTCAGTTCCTGCCATGTTTCAGCCACAGCATCCTTCTTTGCTATGAGGAATTTCTTTCGAATGATGCCCTCCAATTCCCTCTGGGGGAATGCTCTCCAGATAAAACCACTTAAAAAATTTTTAAAGGCTCTTTACAAAGAAACTGAACATGTTTTGAGAGGAGTTTGTCTTCCCCTGTAGTTCCCTCTAGAGCAGCGGTTCTCAACCTATGGGTCGCAACCCCTTTGGCTGTCGAATGACCCTTTCACAGGGGTCGCCTAAGACCATCCTGCATATCAGATATTTACATTACAATTCATAACAGTAGCAACATTACAGTTATGAAGTAGCAACGAAAATAATTTTATGGTTGGGGGTCACCACAACATGAGGAACTGTATTTAAAGGGCCAGAAGGTTGAGAACCACTGCTCTAGAGAGAGTAAGGCAAAATGTCAGTGTGCAATGGGATATGTGGAATTAAAAAGAGAAGGTTGTGAAATGTAGTTCCTGAAAAAAAAAATGGGGCGTTGGGTTTATCAGGTTTTTTTTTTTCTGTTTTCTTACTACTCATATGCACCTAGAGTGAAGGAATAAATTAATGTGGTCCATGAAAAGGATAATACTGTAACCGAATAACCAAGGGGTCCAGGCTGCCTGTCACCACTTGAGCCAATTAAGCAGAGGCAGGGCTGAATCCTATATGAGCGTTTATCCCAATAATGCTGGGAGGATGGGAAAGCAGAAAGTCACCCACAAAAATCTGCTCTGCCCCTCCCCATAGCCAGCTGCTTATATTGGGTAGATAGGCAAAGATTATGTGGGAAAGTAAGAGTTACAGGCATGGGAAAGTAGGCATAGTATAATGTTTACAGGTAACCAGCAATGCAGGCTGAGGCTGGGGGGTTGCAGAGGGTGGATGCCTCCAGGGACTAGATTGTTTCAGTCATGTGGTTGTGACTCTTTCCATAATGATGGGCAGCTCTCAGAAAAGGAGGATGGGCTGCATTCTGATGTTAGCTCCCATGTCCCAGGGCATATAACTCTTAGCCAGGTTAGAATGTGCTTTCTCTAATCAGAACAGAATGATCACAATTAATAGAGCATGGTTAATATTTCTTGACTAGAGGCCCGGTGCATGAATATTCGTGTGCTGGGGGGGAGGGGGGGGTCCCTCAGCCCAGCCTGCGCCTTTTCACAGTCCAGGACCCCTCAGGAAATATCCATCTGGGGAGCGGGCCTAAGCTGGCAGTCAGACATCCCTCTGGCAGCCTGGGAGCCCTCAGGAGATGTCCAGCCTAAGCCATCAGTCGGACATCCTTAGTGCTGCCAAGGAGGTGGGAGAGGCTCCTGCCACTGCTGCTGCACTCGCAGCCATCAGCCTGGCTTGTGGCTGAGCAGAGCTCCCCCTGTGGAAGCACACTGACCACCAGGGGGCAGCTCCTGTGGAGCATCTGCCCCCTGGTGGTCAGTGTGCATCATAGCAACCAGTTGTTCCTAGTTGTTCCATCTTTAGGGTCAATTTGCATATTACCCTTTTAATATATAGGATAATAGCTAGTCACCAATATTCTCTTTCTGCCCCTAACAACACTGTATCATCAAATTGGATGGAACTATCTCAAACAGGAATAAAGGCCAATGAGACATTTCCTTTTAAATCAATAAACCTGACTGCTCTCCACAATGCTATTTGTAAGCGAATTCATTTTTTATACTAACCAAAGAGGGGATGGAGGAATTTGGAGAAACTCAGTTTTACATTTTTTTCTGTTTTTCCAAATCTGAAAAAAAAATGAAATTAATCCTTGATTCATTGTAACAGTGAAAACGATTAATTTCTCCCTCTCAAGTAATGAAAGGACCAAAAGTCAAGTCACAGCTACTAGAATTGATATTTCAAAAGCCAAAGGTCATGTGTTAAGTACTTTTAATAAAAATCATTACCAGACTGGCCCATGAAGACTAGGTCATGTTACAAGAATGTCCCCATAGCAGTGACAGCTGTAGGTGGCTTGGTGAGGGAAGGGCAATGAGTGTGAGCTACTGAGCACTAGCAGAAGAGATCTCATACAGAAAAGAAATGCATTAGACCATTCAATAGGAAAGAATAGCTGAACACTTTCATTTAACTTCCCCAAGCAACATTCCTTGGGTCATCTAGCTATATCATGTGCAGAAGAATTTGCACAGAAAGAATTTGAGCATCAAAGGTTTTGCAGTCTACTGGTGTTTGCTTGAAATTAGTAAGAAAGCATAAAAGATGTTAATAAATTTAGCTGCTACCCACATATGAGGATGAATAATATCATTAATTCCAAAGATAAATAATAAACATTGAGAGACTTTACCCTTTGGTATGTAGAGCGTATAACTGATCCTATTAATTAGGTGCTGTAAGCATTGATATTGAGGTATCAGCTATGTGTGCATAATTTATAAAATCACTGGAAATCCCCAAATGTGATAAAGAAAAATTATTTATGTGAAAAACTATTTCTCATGTGATCATTAGTATAATTAAGATATTCAAGCTTATCAAGTGATTTACAAGTACTTGATAGACATACTAAGCATAATTATTCTCCCTTTTTCAATATATGCATTGAAATTAAGGACATTTATGAGAAAAAGAGAGGTAACTCAGCAACACCATGGCAAAGCATTAACTAGTAATTGTAAGGTTTTACCTCTGGATCTAAGGTTTAATCTCTTCACATGTATTTTCATTTCCTATTTGAAATTCATTTTGACTTTTGGAAAAATAAGCTTGTAATCTTTGGAAAATGATGCTTACTGATTTTCCAAGGGCTACTTATGGGAAGGCCTATTGGATAGCTTAAAATCTAATGATTTCAATTCAGTTTTATTTCTTTCAAGAATATTTTATAGGAGAATTTAGGTGATTAGAATTGGCAAGTAGACACCCTATGATTATTTATTTTAGTATGAATGGATAAACATATGTTAGAATCAATAGTTGGATAATCTTCCAGCGAAGGTACAAGGTGACTCTGGCCCCATTCATTTTACTCTGTACCTCAATCTCATTTTTTATAAAATTGTTAAATAATGATAATATCTGCTATTACTACCTTGGAGCATTGAAAAATAAAAATAGAAGGTATACTTCTTCATCAAATCTGGTTTTCTTAAACACATGAGAGCAAAGAACATATCCACACATATGAATGTGGAGGGGGTAATAAGGGATGGACGATTCTGTATATATTTATAGCTATGAGTTCTTTGGGAGCCACAGACAATATATCATTATTTTTTATTCATTAGTTTATCTCCCAAAGAGCGTAGTCAATCAAATGAAGTGCATTTTTGTCAAAATTAGACAATTAGGAATACTGCCAAATTGTAAGAATGCATTGAATCTGGTTCTAAGGGGCAACCCCAAGCACTTCTTGCCCCTCAGCTTTATACTTACTGGCAGGTTCGGGTCATTTCCTTGACCCTGTTCTGTCGTCCATCCTGTCTCTGTTTGAATTTGCATCTGTTATTTTTCAGAGTATCAAAGTGAGCTGGCTGCCTCCTCCATCCGGAACACAAAATGGATTTATTACCGGCTATAAAATTCGACACAGGAAGACGACCCGCAGGGGCGAGATGGAAACATTGGAGCCAAACAACCTCTGGTACATGTTCACAGGTCAGTGTTCACACGGTGTAGTCTTACAAGTTTTTGATGAATTAAATGCTTTGGGAATAGAATACATTCTCACTTCAAGGGAACATTTTTTTTCCTGGCAGGTGACATTTGTTGGTCTGAACAAGAAAAACCTCTATATTTTGAACTTGATATTTTCTATAATGTTTTCACTATATATTTTATTTCTGGATCATCATCTTAATAAGTGCATCATATATTTTTTAAAAAATCAATTTTAGTTTTTCAGCATTGCTGATTCAATATAGCACCTGTTGCCAAATAACTTCTAAATTTTTAGCTAATAACTAAATGGGTCCAAGTTTAAGCCACTTTGGTCTCGCTTCCCCCAATCTCCTGGGTGGTAATGGTGTTGGAAAATGGAAAGAAGGGTTAGCTTGGGGAATAAACAGATAGATTGTTCTACATTTCATAGATATCAAGGTAAATTCACTTTTATAGCAATATTGGTAGAACTCTTGATAGTTCAAACTTCTCTATGAAAACTGGACCCAGTTTTCAGGTAGTAGTTAAAGGATTATTTTTATAAAATTAATAATTATATATTTACTTTAGCTATTGTCATACAATGCCAGTCTAGTTTCTTTCCTAGAACACAGAGGCTGAGGCAGGCTTTCAAAAATAAGGCCTTTGGGGGTGCAAGCCCAGGAAAACAAGAGTGAGGGGACAAGGGGAGGGAGCCAGGGCAGAAGGGAAATCAGATCATGGAGGCATGTTATTGAGCTGGCCACACGTTTAGGACAAATACAGAGCTTGCTTGGCCTCATATGGTGTCTCTTGAGAGACTGTGAGTCTCAGTCAATGGCTGGATGGGAAGTGTGAGCAGTTTCTCTCTTTCCTATCATTAGTCAAAATCTACTGACAGATTGGATTTTGGACCTACACACAGCTCCCTGGGATGCCAGAGCTCCAGGGAGTGTCCAAACATGGAATTCTCCTTGTCAGTCAGCACCTATGTGAGGGTGGATGGGTCTGGTGTAGCAGCAATACTCAGGCCTGGTAACCCTAAGAAGAGAATAAATTTTTGGTAGTGGCTTGAGAAGCAAAGCAAATCACGGTGGCTCATGGCAAGGATTGGTGAGTGCAGTTGAGCCAATCTGAGATGGCACAGAAACTGTGCCTAGGACAATATACACACTAAAACCCATAACTTACAGCTAATGCAGAAGTAAACTGTTACTGCAGATGAAAAGAAAGAAAGTGACCCTTTATTCCTTTTCCTGTGGTAAGTAATCAGTAAATTTCCACTTGGAATCATAGTACAGGTACACAACCCACATGAGCGCACGCACATGTGCGTGCACACAGTGACACACACACACACACACACACACACACACACACACACACACACTTTAAGATCGTATTCAGCCTACAGTCTGAAACTTGATAGAAATCTGTTTTTCCCCCTCAGGTTGTTTGGCTTTTATGCCTATAACATTTTAGCATAATAATGAGAGTGCTTCCAAGGTAGATTGCCAAAAAGTGTATTATTTGTTTTATATCTGGACAGATTCTCCCAGGCAGGTATTGTTGATTCTATCAGTGATGGCGAACCTTTTGAGCTCAGCGTGTCCGCATTTTGAAAAACCCTAACTTAATTCTGGTGCCGTGTCACATATAGAAATTTTTTATATTTGCAACCATAGTAAAACAAAGACTTATATTTTTGATATTTATTTTATATATTTAAATGCCATTTAACAAAGAAAAATCAACCAAAAAAATGAGTTCGCGTGTCAACTCTGACACGTGTGTCATAGGTTCGCCATCACTGTTCTAAGTGGAAGTCATGGCACTCTACTGTACATTTAAAAAGCTCAGGAAAAGCCAAGATCCTATGCCTTTTACTCTGATGAAATGATCAGAAGGTAAAAATAATTGAAGTTGAAGTGAGGTAGATGTGTTCTTTATTATGTTTAACAGAACATGTAGTACCCTTTGGGAGAAATCACCAAAATTTTAAAATCTTACTGAAAATTTTTTAGTATAATTCCTAAGATTTATGTTTGTCCGGAAGAAAGACTCTAAGGATAATTTAATGGAAGCCTTATATTTTAATAGATATGGGCACTTGAAGCCCTGAAACTTTTTTTAATCAATGCTTTTCTTTCTCAAATGAAAGATTAAATACAAAAATAAACTTTTTATAAAATAATTAATTAAATTATGAGCATTCCAATAGAAAAACTAAGGATTGGCTATTCAATTTACAGAACTATAAATGCTGAATAAGCATGATAAAATGTTCAATCTTATTGGTAGAGAAATATAAATTAAAACAAAAATGAGCATGTTTTCATATGTCTCTTGGCTTTCTGAATGTCCTCTTTTGAAAGGTGTCTATTTAGATCCTTTGCCCATTTTTTGATTGGATTGTTTATCTTCCTTTTGTTAAGTTGTATGAGTTCCCTATAAATTTTGGAGATTAGGCCCTTATCAGATATAATGTTGGCAAATATGTTCTCCCATTTTAAGCAATAAAAATAATAAAAAAAATAAATGTAATGGGAGAGAAAAAAAAATAAAATAAAACAAAAATGAGTTAGCATTTTCCTTTGATTAAAGTTATAAAGGTAAAAATGAATGATGATACCCTTTTCTGGAAAGCATCTGACAGAAATACAAACTTTCATATACTGCTTGTGGGACATAAAATTTCTAGAATATTTCTGGAAGCAATGTGCATATGTTATATACAGATGTATATACGTGTGTGTTTGTGTGTGTGTGTGTGTGTGTGTGTGTGTTTAAGAATAAATTTTAGGTTTCCAACTTCTAGCAGTTTGTTCCAATTCAACAATCATATTTTTGGCAAAGTTTTTTACTCTAAGAATGATTAACTCTTTGCACTGTTACTTTAATAACAAATAATAAAAAAATATCCTAAACATCCAATTATAGACAGTTAACTAGACATTTCAGACATAATCATATCATGGAGTATTGTACATCTATTGAAAATGAAGTAATATAAAAATACTAAATTATATATTAAATATTTAAAACATATCACTAACTTAGTTTTCAATCAGTATTAGTATATAAGCCCATATTTATAAACCAAAAAAATGAAATCATAGGAAAATATTTAGAATAATAGATACCAAATATTAATAGTGATTGCTGCTAACTTTTATAACAATAAAATATGTATTTTTAATTGCATATGTAAAGTGTAAAACAAAAGGTCAAGACTCTAGTGTCATATTGCAACTTTTGGTTACAAAAATTGAAGATTTCCTCCCACTATAGCTAAGTGTACTCCCACTGGACAGCTAAGAAGTGAGTGGGCCCAGAAAATAAGTGTGGAACAGTAGCTAGCCACGTGGCCAAAATAACTTGCTGCTGTGACGTTTTTAGTATTTGTGCAATGTTTTTGAAAGTATCACTTTAAACTCAGTAACATCAAATCAAGATTCTGACTCCCTAAATAGACAAACTTATAGGATTTTCTTTCTACAGAAGGTATAATCATTTTTTTCACTTGTTATTCTTTCTTTATTTTTTCTTTATTGATTAAGGTATTACATATGTGTCCTTATCCCCCATTGCCCCCCCACTCATGCCCTCACCCCCCTGGTGTCTGTGTCCATTGGCTAGGGTTATATGCATGCATACAAGTCCTTTGGTTGATCTCTCCCCCTTACCCCTGTGCTCTCCTACTTTCCCTCTGAGGTTTGACGGTCTGATCGATGCTTCTCTGTCCATGGATCTGTTTTTGTTCATCAGTTTATGTTGTTCATTATATTCCACAAATGAGTGAGATCATGTGATATTTATCTTTCTCTGACTGGCTTATTTCGCTTAGCATAATGCTCTCCAGTTCCATCCAGGCTGTTGCAAATGGTAAGAATTCCTTCTTTTTTACCACAGCATAGTATTCCATTGTGTAGATGCACCACAGTTTTTTAATCCACTCATCTGCTGAAGGGCACTTAGGACTTAAACATAAGACGGGAAACCATAAAAATTTTAGAGGAATCTGCAGGCAGCAAAATCTCAGACATCTCCTATGGCAATGGAAACTAAAGAGAAAATAAACAAATGGGACTACATCAAAATAAAAAGCTTCTGCACAGCAAAAGAAACCATCAACAAAACAACAAGAAAGCCCACTGCATGGGAGAACATATTTGCCAATGATATTTC